ATCACACGCACAATGTCAATGGGAAACGGTGTATTGAAGGGCACAGATGTTCCTCATGCGACGTCTAGCGCCACCCCATCGATTCTGGACGAAGCGTTGGTTGGCTCGCCGCCTGCATCGGCAGCACTCGAAACCGAGTGACGTACTTAGTCTTCCACTACTGGATATGTCGAGTGTTACTGTAACTCACGCGTCGAGTAGGTGCTCGGACGCAGAGCGCGCGGCACAGACACCCCGGAACGGCTTCCACGAGAGCAGCTTCGGCGACGTTTCGGTCGTGGTGTGAACGGTTTTGGTACTCGTCGATGCCTCCGTTCAGCGGTATTGTGGCTTCGTACTGTATGAGGTCTCACGTATCTTACAGGTCGTATGCTGAGTGTACCTTCTCGAGGCTATGTATGCGCGCCACAGGTTAGGTTGCAATGTGTTCTGCATGTCCCGGTTTGAGCGTTCGCGGGTTTCATTAGATCGTTATGTACACGCGTCTCAATCATATAGAGTTGCGAAATCGGCGTATCGTATCATCTATGTATATGTATATGGACATGGACATCGTGGTGTACAAAGAGGAGGGGGAAGGGCAGATAGTAGATCGGGAGCATACCGGGGTATAGTAGCGGCTACAGTGACCTTCAAGCGAAGATTGTGAACACAAATGTACGGATTCAACAGGTTGAGAAAGACACATGTTGGTCCAAAGCATGCGCGAGCGCTGTAGTCCACGCATCAACACGCTATGTATCAACGCGCTCCACCCGCCGTGCGTTAGCGCTGCGGCAGTGCGAGCTCCTCCTATCCATGTCTACACCACCGATGTTCTTCTCGTTACCCTCTATCGTGATGCCGCGGGCCAGCGTTGCAATCGACCCTCCAGTTCCGGCTAGATTGGGACTGGTAACAGTCACCTCCAGGTGACAACAACATGTTATGAACGATAGGTGCAAGACCAGCCACTTTCATGATGTCGAGGGACGAACAACCAGGACCGAGCTCATGCGAGCGCAAGTCGTAGTCGCAAATGAACTATTCGCCGCACGTCCGAGCTGAGCACGTCCGGTGACGTTCTAGGTCCCTCGCGGCGCATGCTATTGTCATACGCCTGGGCATCCTCTCGCGTCCACATTTCCAAGTAACTGTCGGAGGTGGGTCTCACGGATCCCTCAGGTCCGGTATCGCGACTCCAACGCACATTGAAGGGGTTTCTAAGCCCGGCTCGCTCGCAGCGAGCTTGTCACGGAGACTCGGTGTTCCTTGCGCGATCTCCAAGCAGCGCATCAAGAGGGGCGATTCACGTCGTCCATCCAGGATCATCGAAGGCTGCAGGCAGTACTTTCTCACCGAGGACGATCCTCTAGACACAGTATTCGAGACGCCGCAGAAGGACATTCACTACGTCGTGTACACCAAAGGCGACCCTGATACTACGATCCGGGCTGCCAAGACGCGCGTGGGGCACTGGGATCCTCAGAACGATATATGGGAGCATGTTGTTGGTGATATCGAGTGGGGAGGGCTCGCGCGTGGAGACTACGTGAAGTCCGCGATGTTTGAGCGAGGGAATGGATACAAGATCAAGGCGGAGGACCTGCTCTTCGAGCACCCGGAGCTTAGCGAACGGTACGCGATGCTCTCGCATGTCTGCATCCTCATGACTAATAGGCGCTTAGCGTGGCCACGTATACTCCCGGGACACGCTTCTTCACCGTCGGTGGCGAGGACTTCATGTGGAGAGTGGAGGGAAAGGGTCTGAAGGGGACGACCAGAAGTACAACGATCACGCGCCGCGTTGGAACAGAAGAAGAGCGCGTGCTGCGCGTCTCTGTGCCACGCCCGGCAACAACCGAACTTAGGATCACGCGTCGCGTTGGAGCAAAAGAACGCGCGTCTTGACTCTTCGTCCCACGACCGGCAACAACCGAGCTTTGAAGCAAAATCACGCGGCGCGCTGGAACAAAATCCGCGCGACCACCATCACATGCCAGGCACGTGCCACGAATGGGTTCGTTTGGCCGCGCTGAGCGCGACCTTAAGCTGTGTCTCTTTCGAGCCCCAGAACCAGAACCTCACCACCTCAGCACTAGACACCATGTCTGCCGAGTCCTGGTCAGTCCCGGGCAGTTGTCAGCGGGACGATTAGGTTTTTGCGACATGTACTCGCGGTGACCAAAAGTTCCAGTCCACCCCGATTCAAGCTCTCGGTTCTCCCCGCATTCGGCAGAGCCTATGCGTCTACAGCATATTGTATCGTGAGTGTTTAAGGGTGCTCTGCATGCGAACATACCAACCACGTCTCAAAGGCGTACTACTACACAGCAGAGTTCACACGGATGTTCGGGGGGCGGACCGGAACTTTTGGTCACCGCGAGTACATGCGGGACGTGACACTTGGCGACAGCGCCGTTACAACCTACAACACGACTGAGGGTGAGATCTTGCTGTTGCGCGGCAAGTATTCCCTCGTACGCGTCTGCCCGATTATGTTCCTGCATTGATGAGCAAGAGCCCCCGGAATGCAATGTGGGTATTCAAGATTATGATATACATATGCGAGAGAGCGTGTATGGGATATGCGAGCAGATGAGAGTAATCTAGTGTACAGCGAGCGAAGGCGCAGCTCCCTTGGTCCATGAATATAGCGATATATAGTCCCCCGTCCAAGTCGATCAGGGAGCACCGGAGGGCAGCTCTTTCGAGACGTAATGCCAAATGTAGTGCGTGAAGCTCTCGAGGACGCCCGAGCCGGACATAAGATGCAAGCAATCGCTCGGTCCGTGCGCGTCTGGCCTCAATAGGGCCGGATTCTCGATGCGCAGGAAGTGAAGATCAGGGTATCGCGGCGATGCGAGGATTTTCTGCACGCCAGTCAGCTTCCATCGCTTCATGAACAGGAGGAGAGAATGAACGCACCTCGAAGATCTCATTCATATCCGAGTGTATCCAAGCCCAGTTGAACCACCTCCACCGGAACGCGATCTCAGGATGGAAGACGTCCCACGGCGCGCGCTCCATATGGCAATCTTCATGCCCAGGCGTATACCCCCGCACGATGACTTCTCTCCTCAACTGCTTCACAGCTCCCTTCCGCCCCGCACCGCCGAGGCCAGCAATCTGCAGTTGCTCCGCCTCCTCCTTCACGCGGATGTTATCCATGTACGCTTGAGCCTCGTGCGCCCAGTACTCCATCGCCTCGCCAAAGAATTGCAGCACGGCGCGGATACCCTGTCCTTCGGCTTCCTCGTCTTTGAGGCCTTGTAATAGATTGGGATGCCAGTGCCCGCCCGTATTCGTGATGAGCGTCGCATAGCGGAACGGCGCGGGCGCAGTGAACCATTCGAAGTACTCCGCCGGCGACCGATTCCAGTCCTGCTCGTCGCCGAACAGCACGAAGTCGCCATTCGCGTACATCTCGGGATGCTTCGCCTTGTGCAACGCCTCGAGTTCGGGTTTCGTCAGGAGGAGATCCATACGGCGGAACGTGACGAGCGGCGTCTCGGCGATGTCGAAGCCCCCTGGCATGTCGAGGTCCTTGACGATTGGCGAGTTCGGGTTGAGGTAGAGGTGCTGTGGCCATGCGCGGTCGAAGTAGGGGTTCTCGGTGTAGTTCGGCGTCGCGCGGACGTGCGGGAAGAGGGTGCAAGACAGCGAGAAGAAGTGATTCTCGGTGACCGAATCTAGACGTAGAGGTCAGCCGGTCTGTTCATCATTGTTCGCGAGTACGATTCCCGGTAGCCTCATTCCCTATTTCAGAGAGGCGGGCGCGCATCCCCGCAAAGCGGGTATCAGGATTTGCGTCCATATTGAATAGAGTTGGACACGCTTCCATCAAGATCATTGAACGCGCCACTTGCGCTGCTACCCTCTTCGTTCGAGACGTTTCGCTACGTCCCCTCGAAGTGAGCGTGCGTACGTTTCGTGTAGCGCGCCTACGAGGGGATAACAACGGTGGTGTGCGCAGCACCCCCGTTTTGCATAGGATCAAGCGGGGAAGCGCATGGGGATAGAGATGTATGAATAGAACGGACTGCCACTCACCTCCAAGAACGAGCCAGCTGCCTTCCTCGACGAGATGTTTGATGAGGCCTTGAGGCGTAAGAGGGTCCACCCCAGTGCACTTCGAGCTCGGCACCCATACATATTCGGTTACGTCGGGGAAGCGATCGTAAAGCCCTTCGTTGTCCGCACGCAGATGCCAATGGAACTCGCGATCGGATGCGCAACCTTGCAAGCCGTTGTACTTGAAGATGTCGTTGCGGTCCGTCATGACGGTGTCGTTCACGCCAGGCACACGCGGCCGTGGTCGATGTTCCCAATGTCCATCGGCCCAGTCGTGCGGCGAACAGGTTCCAGCTTTGGTTGATGCTGTAGTAACGCGTGAAAAGCCAAGAGAGTCGGTGAAGGGCCTGAAGACGGAGGTGGTGTAGTGCAAGAAAATGAGCGATGCGGCGGCGAGTAGGCAGACCCGCGAAGTCGACAAGCGCGTCATGGCGCAGAGCAGAGGCTGGCAGTCCCAGTAGTGGGTGGTGGCAGCAGACAACGAAGGTGAAACCCCGTCGCTGGCAGATCGTGTATATTCGTGCGAGCCAGGCGGTAGGCGGCCCTATATGACGCTATACGCGCTCCGTCTAGAACAAACCCCGGATTCCTCATCACGACAGGGCCCTTCTTACCAGACGTCGCGCTGCAAACGCAGTTCGCATCCCCACGTCTCGGACATTTGTGCTTTGTTGTGATACACACACACGTATATGTCGGTTGAGTCTATATAGCGTACATCTACATGTCAGTGTACTGCGCTCAGCCTTGAATTTAGCTTGTGGTGGACGATCGAGAGGGCGCGTCCTGCGCAGCTGCGTGCCGCTTCGTGCCGCAAGGGACCGGGGTAAGCCGGTTGATCGGGATACATGTCTAGACCGCCATGACGCAGTTTAGTGGGTCCACTACGGCCTTAGCAACCGAGTAGAAAACTCAAAGCTATGTACATATCTGGAACAACAAAAGCAATACGCAGACAAGGGTATACTACAGTTTGGAATGCGGTGCTCGTGTAGAGGCGGTCGAGTATATGTACAATGCTGCGGCAGTGAAGGTGCCATGAAATGGGAGGTACCGGCAGCAGTACGGTGGCATCTTTCACCGCTCAACGTCCCTCGCGTCCTGGAGACTTTGATGCGGATGCAGGCGGATGCTTGATCATGTTCCAGCTAATCAAGAATCGATAGGCCGTCCCGCGAGGAGGGGTCCTTGTGGGGCCTCTGGCTTGGCCTGCCTAAACAAGTAGGAGGGTGACGTAACGCGCGCTGCGCTCAACCCGGCAGCGTCGCGGCTCGGATGCAGCCCCGCGCGCTCGCGCGTCTCCTGCGTTATACGGCCATGCCCTCCGTTCGAACTTTCGAGAATCACCTGCTCCTATCTACCTGTACATAGCTTTGCAATGTAATCAACTCTTCTTCGACATCTGCTCCAGTTATCTCCTGCCATGGGTCGTCGTCACATCCCCGATGCACAGAAAGAGCTTCTCATGGAGATGCTCGACAATGGCATGCCTCAAGATGATTTGGTCAAATTTAGCCATGTCAGCGATAGGACGTGTAGGAGGGTCAAGAAGCTATACAGGCAAACGGGGAAGGTCTCGAGGAAGGCGCTTTTCCCTGGTCGGCCTCGGGCTTTGGGCGACCTGCCCCTTGCAGTACGTCGCCGACAGCTTACACGCCTCTCGAATACCTCGCTTACGTCGTCATTTCCAGTACCTCGAAGCACGAATCGAGCAAAGCCCTGACTTGACTCTGCGCGAACTCCGTCAGGCCCTCGTCACTGCGTACGCTATCGACGTAACAGAGCAGACCATTTCGAACTCCCTCAAACGGCGAGGCTGGTCGCGAAAAAAGGTGCGCAAATATGTATGAGTCGTACGAGTTGAATTTGACTCGTATGGCAGCTTTCTCGTCCGGCGCTCGAGCAAGACGAAGAGAAACGCGCGGCTTTCCGCCTCGAAATCGCGCAATACGCGCCGTGGATGCTCGTCTTTCTTGACGAGTCAGCCGCGGATCGACGTACAGCGAGACGCACGTATGGCTGGGCCCCCATCGGAGATCGTGCTCGTCGTCACGACTACTTCGTGCGCAAGAAACGGTACGTGCTATGTCGTCGTTCCCAACTCACTAGGTTGATATCCTCTTCTAGTTATTCCATCCTTCCCGCTATATCCCTTAGTGGTGTCGTTTACCTTGACATCATTGCTCGCTCTTGGAATGGCGAGCAATTTGATCGCTATCTCGACGCCCTCCTCGACATGATGCAGCCCTACCCCAATCCGAACTCCGTCCTTGTGATGGACAACTCCAGTGTCCATCATTTCGAAGGTGTTCGCCAGAAGGTAGAGGCTCGGTAAGCATTATCAATTATTCCAAACAATGCCATTCTCACACATCGCGCAGGGGATGCCGACTCGTGTACTTATCTCCGTACTCGCCTGATTACAACCCGCTCGAGGAGGGCTTTTCGGCGATGAAGGCCTGGATCCGTCGTAATCGGGAGTATGTTCTTGGTGAGATGTCTGGCCGGCCGACGTGTAATCCCTTTACAATGCTCACTCAGGCCGTCTTCGACACGATGACCCCTGATAATATCCGTGGCTGGTTCCTCGACTCGGGTTATGTAGTATAGGACTGCAAATGACAGCAATAATATTGATTTCTGTACTAGCAAGGATGGTTACAAATGTATCCGATGCAAAAAGGCATAACTATATACATAGATAAAGATAAGTTATGGCACAAGAAAGCAAAGAGATAGCAGATCGACAGCAGAATCATCAAGAAGGCTTGCCCATTACGACGACAAGTCGCCCGCGAGCTCGTCAACGTCCTCGTTGCCATCAGTATCATCATCGTCATCATCGTCGCTGTTGAGGATGATCGCCGGAGGCATGTTCTCCTTGCCATGCTGGATACGACGCCGTTTCGCTTCCTTCGCCTTGATTATAACCGCCTCCGTCTCACGGAGGAAGGTCGGGACAAGCCCAGGAGGCATCCCGACGCCGTTCTCCCGACGCAGAAATATGTCGCGGTCATCCTTCGAGTCGACAATACTCTGGGCGTAGTAAAAGCCCATCTCCTCAAGCTTTGCGGCATACGATGAGAACTTTGCCTTCGGGAGACGGGCATCAAGCTGCCGAAGAGCATCACGGAGGAGAATAGGATCTTCTTCCACGGCGTCGTCGCGCGTCTTGCGCTTGCGCGGCGTGTTCTGTCCGTGCATGTCAGAATTCGCCACAGGCAAGGTACATGCGAACAAGCGTACCTCCGCATTTGGCGCGTTGTTGATGTGGACGTGGATGACAGGAGAGTTTGGATCATTAGCAGATTTCTTCGGGGACTTCTGACGCCGTGGTTCGCCGAGTTGGTCGAAACCCTTTGTGTTTGGGCGAACCGTGCACGTACGGTCAGCCTCTGGATTGAGTTTCTGGGTAGCACGGTCAGAGGACTCGAGAGTAACAAAAAGAGCAGCCAAATGGAGTAACTTGCCATATAGCGAGCCCAGTTCAACACGTCCTGCAGTGACAAAGGATGATGCTCGTTGGGATGGCGAGGATCCTTCCAACAGTAACGGGTACCATGGCCCGCATACCCAACACAGTTGCATTGCAGCTTCTGAAGACAGATACGAAACTCGTCCGAACACGCCTCCTCTTCCGCCTTCCCGTGTGCCTCCTCTTCCTCATTCGAGCCCTTCTTCTTCCCACTCTTCTCCTTGGCGACGGTATTCTTCTCCTTGGCGGCGGTATTGTTATCCTTCGCCGGCTTCCGCTGGGAAGCAGTCAGGCACCACCAATAACGAGAGAGGACATTCGCGCGCGCGCACTCACCATATCCTGGATGGTCACTTTCCCGTCCTGGCTCGAGTTAGGGTTCTTGCGGTAACGTATCCAGCGCTTGATGAGTTCCTTGATGTCATCCGCATTCTCGAGACGACTGGCGCCACCCTTGTCGCTGGGGAACTTGTATCCGACGGCGAGGGCATCGCGAGTCGTGTCGAGCTTGAGTGCCAGACTCTCGAAGAAATCGCCGGGCTCTTGAGAGTCTCGAGTGGCGCGGACCATGGTACCTTGCCTCGCGCTGACGGGATCTGGAAATGGATCTGCGTGATGACTGTGGAACAGTATGTAAGCATGTATACAGTGTGTGCTTGTCGCGAACATCGTACTCTGTCCCTGGTAGTCCTTAGGTGTCTCCTCTTCTGATTGTCCCGAGCCTCCCGTGCGATTGCGGTGAGTATCAGGCCCCGTAGCCACACGGAAAGAGGGAAGACGACCATCGAGACCAGCTTGGACGTAAGCAGCAGCGATCTGCGGCCCTGTCGGCTGTGGCACAGGACCTACACCGAGAAGATAACGAGCCTGAGGTGCGGGTTCGGTCGAACGATAGCTCATACGTAGGTACTATGTGATACTCAGGTTCTAGAGAAGAGACGCAGGGAAAAGAACACGAACAGGCCGATAATATTTGAGCAATACGTATGTACATGTGATCCCAGGACAGCTCCATAGTATTCGCGAACATTCGTAGGCCAGTCAGCTCAAATAACACTGTTCGGAGGCAGGACGCCGTCGCAGCTCGCGTCGTCGTGGTGAGGGATTGAGCGCAGCGCGCGTTACGTCACCCTCCTGCTTGTTTAGGCAGGCCAAGCCAGAGGCCCCACAAGGACCCCTCCTCGCGGGACGGCCTATCGATTCTTGATTAGCTGTCAAAGGCCATGCGGCCAGGGCAGTGGCGGCGTATTGAAGCGAGAGGCCCCGTCCCAGTGTGCTGCAGAGTCGAGACATTGCTGTATGGAGGCGTCAGCAATAGAATTCATGTTATAATGATAGCGCACCTAAGTAATCAGATAGAGAATCCGCTCTACGATGAGTGGGACGTTCCCTCATTGGCGCCCGATCCACCAAGATTCAAGTTGTACTGTATGTTCTTGCGATGCTGAGCGTGCAGATCGGCCGCCACTTTCACGTATGCATTGGCACGTAGCACCTCCTAGTATGCAGACTCAACTTCAGTCATGAGCAAAGATGCAAGGCCTGTACGTCGCGCACCTCAACGCAGTGGTTCAACTCGAGCATGAGCTCTGTGCACTTGTCCTGATCGCGATCAACATGATGCTCATTTCCACCAATCTGGCCAGCGAGACGCACCACGTTCTTATGTATCCTCTGCAAAAGCACAGCCTGCCTCTCAGCGTGCGGATTCTCCATCGCGTGAACTGAGCACGGTCGAGGTCAAGACGAAAGACGCGACTTGAACGACGTTCGCGTCGTGACCGCGTCGCGGTGATTGCCGCACCACGAGGCTCGCAGTTTCGGCGCATCGTCCGCTCATGTTGCGTCTTGCGATACACTTCTCCCGTCCATCATCACTTTGACGCGGTACCGCGATGGCACAGCTTTTGCGACGACTAGCGGTTGAATTGCGCCACTGAAATGCGGATGGTTTGACGTGTCGTTTGTCTTGATGCACTGCTTGATGCCAAAATACCCTGCGCATGCTGTCACAACTCCCTGGCCGTTTGAGCCTCCGCGGCCTTGATCCCAATGGCGACGACACGACATTTGACTGTCTACACCTCTCTTATCGGCACACTCTGTGCCGGATATCTCATTCATATTCGCTGCCTGAGAGCCAACGGCCTCAACCAGCGCGGCTTTTACCACTTTACCCGCGCGTCATTGAGCCCGGCATCCAAGCGGGAGAAACCCTTTGATCGCAGATCTGCAGCTGTGCAAGACTCCTATGGAAACGTACAGGACTCTCGGGCGAACGAGGCAGGCCAAGGCACTTGCGCGATGATCCCAGCAGCCACATCACAGCATACGCTGTCGGCATCAACGTCTCCCGTTTGCTCTTTAGCAGGGCGCCTACCCTTTTCGCACCTTGCCTTTGCCCCCACCACCGGCCGTCGTAGTCCTTCCAGTGACCGACCCACCCTTCGCTTTCTTACCCACACGAGTTCAACAACCGTTCTTCTCTCTTCTAACTTTACGAACCTCCGATAGACGCCCAGCATGGCGCAAGTCAACTCGCAGCATATCCCTGGCAATTTGAACTTCCTGGCCAAGTACGTTCCTCGCTCTTTTACCTGCTTATCACCGTTGTGCTGACCCTACGTAGCCGCAAGGGCTGGTCCAGGAACTTCACGCTCTCCCCGGCGGAGGTTGGCAACATCACCTACGCGACGCTCGAGCAGATCCTCGAGCTCCGCACGATCAACCTCCGCGGACGCCGCCTCCGCGTCTACGTCGAGCATCCCGCCGGGAGCGGGGTCTGGGCGCCCGTGCGCCCCTGGTCGGACGACGGCACGCTGCAGTCCGAGCTCGTCAAGGCGTTCTTCGCCGACCGCATGGAGCGCGGCGTCGTCACAGTCCTCGACGTGCGCGACGTCGCGGAGCCCGATATCAACCCCCACGCACCGATGCACCCGCGCGGCTGGCTCCGCCGGGGCAACACCCTCACGAAACATACCAGTTCACGGAGCGACCTGCATGATTCGGATATGGACCCGGTACGCGACTCTATGTACAGCGATGACATGTAAATTACTGGATGGCTCAACGGATCTTTCTCCCCTCTTTTTTATATTATTTAATGCAGATGTCAACGGATTCACGCTCGGGGTTCTTTGGGCGCTTCAAGGGCTCGTCGAAGGATAACATGCCCGAACTGCCGTCTTCGCATTCGCTTCCGAGTCCGCCCCAGACGCAGAGTGATGAGATGGAGGGCGAGGAGATGGAGATGATGGAGGAGGTATGTCCATCCATCTCGCCATCTCCGCATCATGGCGCGGCCAACTGATCATCTTTCCGCATAGCATGGATGGCGTCCCGCGAACGTGATCCGGCGCTTCACGGGCTCGCGCAAGCGCAAGGACACGACGAGCGGGAAGTCGAAGGGGATCAGCAAGGATAATGTCGGCTCGCCTATGCCTGTTCATCAAGCGCCGACGCCTGCGAGGCAGGAGAGCCCGATTATCGACCCGACCGAGTTCGAGCCTATGGATATGCGCGAGACGGCCGAGTCTGCGGCAGAGAAGAATGTACGTGACACGTTAGTGGCGTGTTTTGGGGCATGAGACTGATTATGGCTATGTTCAGGTCGGGCTGCGCAGGCTGCTATCGCGCAAGTCGACGAAAGACGTCAAGAGTGTCGCTTCGTCACCACTATCGTCCGATAAGCCGCCCTTCGTGCGCACAGCGAGCGACGTCGGAGTCTCAAGCGCACAGTTCCAGAAGTCCGGGCACATGTCCATGGGCACGGACGAGGGATACAGCACAGCGGAAACGGCCGGCGAACCCAATATGACATTTGCGCCGTCCCCCGCTATGGTCGTTTCTGGGTTCGGTCTTGCGACCCCATCTGCACCGGGATCGAGCTCGTCGGGTATGCCTTCGTTCGGCGTACCGATGCCACCTGGTATACCCATGCCTCCCGTCAGCGGCAACGGTATGAAGCGCATATCAGAGGTACCGACTATGGACTCATCAGACACCACCATGCCGCCACCGTCGAACATGGCCCCAGAGCGCATCACCAGCATCCGCTCCGAGACGCGCACATCGCTCAGCAGAGCGCCCTCTCCTCGCGGTGCGCGCGCGCCTTCGCCGCCGAAACACCCGTTGCCATCTGTGCCGACGACCGCTACTGTACCGAGCGAGTGCGGGAACTACGATCAGCTGGATCATGCTGAGGTTAGGCATGCGAAGGCTGCGTCGACGGGGAGTAAGCTCGTTGAGATGATGCAGCCTGAGCGGCCTGTTATGGCTGTTCACTAGACTCTAGACTCATTCCCTTTGTCCTTCTTACACCGCCCACTTTTGCGACACTGAGTTACCTATATATCCATTTTGCGATACCATGCGCCGTCCTCTCCTTCCCGCATCCCGCGCGTCGAGCTTGTATGTAAAGTACTGTACCTCCTATCATTGCTATAATCAAACTCTTTCTATTATACATCGTTATTGGTTGGACAAGTTTTACATGGGCATCCCGTAAGTATAAGACCCGCACAACCCATCGTCGTCCTCTTTCCAGCGTATAGCCGCGACACTAGAGCCCAGCAAACCAGGCAACCCCGCCGCGCTTCTCAACAACGCAAGATGCACCCTGCGCAGCGCTTCGCCCTCGCCGCTGTACCGTTGTCGCGTGCATAGAGCGCCGAGTGCATCGAGCTCGTCCCGGAGCTCTAGCACTAGCGGTATGCTCGCTGCACGCGCAGGATGTAGACGCCCGAGCGCCTCAATGAGGACATCCACATCTCCCTGCGGCGTATCCGGCCCCAACAGCGGAACCGTACGCCGCACGAGCAGCAGAAGCGCGCGCAAATGCCCGTCCGCGCGCAAATTCAGCTGTCCGCCCTCAACCTCGACCCACAACCCCCCACCAATACTCGGACTGCCCTCCCTATCCACCTTACCCCCGCTCGGCATCCTGTCCCCCAGCAGCGCGCTGAACATCGCGGACATATCGCCGTGCGCGAGAGTGCTCGTTGTGCCGAGCGAGACGCGGCGGTCCGTACAGTCGAGCAGGTCGGCGGTGATTGTGCCCAGTGTACACGCGGAATGAAGAGCGAGGGAACTTTCTGTGTTTTGGAGTAGACCGCCGAGACGGTCGATGATGCGCCAGAGCGCGTGGGTGAGGGTCGAATCGGTTGCGGGCGATGAGCCGGGGCCGAGAACGCGCCGCGTGAGTGCGCGGATCGTCGCCGTGCACACGCGTACGCGGCGCGCGTCGGGGTTTGCTACGGCCAGCAAGTGCGATACGCGCGAGAGTATGCCCTCGTCGTGCACGAGGTAGTCCGCGACGGCCGTCGAGCCCTGATGCAGACTATCAAGCAGCCCAGGCACCGACTCGAAGAACGCCTCGAGCTCGTGCTCCTCGTCGATATTGCGTAGCGTAGAATGGACCGCTCGGCGAAGACTGCCGACCGAGATCCTCGCCGCGCGCTGCTTGAGCGCCGGGTCCGAGAGCGCGCTCTTCATGTGTTTGCTGAACGACCGGAGCGGGTCTTTGCATGTCCATAGGAGTTTAGTGAGGCGGGTGGCGGGGTAGCAGAGGATGGAGAGCGTAAGGCGGAGGAAGGCGGTTAGGGGCGTGCTGTAGGGGCAGTCGGGCGCGAAGAGCGGGGCGATGCTGAGGGTCGCGTACACCGCCAGACTGATCAGCGCCAGCGTGAACACGACCGTCGCGACGGCGCCGTCCATCGCGTAGAAGTACTCGATCAGCCCTCCAACGAAGAGGAAGACAGAGCCGTGCAGGAGCGCGACGACGCAGCCTAGCACGTGCACGAAGCGGAAGCGCGTGAGGCCTTCGAAGAGGAACATGCGGAGGGGGCCGCGGATGTGCGGGGGGCCGCGCTGGGAGACGGCGTGTTTGTAGCGGCGGGCCCATTGTTGGGCGAGGGTTGCGGAGAGGGCGCATGCGAGGGCGAGGATTAGGCTGGACATGAAGAGCGCGTTGACGCGGACGGCTGAGGCTGGGGCGGTGAATGGTTGTGCAGTGGGTAAATTGGGAATTTGAGTGTCGGATCCGTTTGCTATGGTAGAAAGTTGGGCTGATATTTGAGTCAAGAGGGCGACTGTATCGGCGTTCGGGTCAGGTTGAAGTGTCGTTGTAGTCTGAACTACGAAAGAAGCTACAACCGCAGCGAACAGACCAGTCTACAGCAAAGACACTTAGCACTATGCATTGAAGTAGCCGAAGAACGCTCACGAAGATCAAGATCCCGTCCGTATCACCCTTCCAGCTCTCCGACAGCGCATTATCCTGCTTCTCGGCGTCTTCCAAGTACGTAGACCAGAACTTATCCGCGGGGTGCGTCCAAGCCGGACTCGGTGACTTGACATTGACCGAGTATGTATCAGAGCGGATGGATCCTAGGATGGTTGTTATAGCCTGGCCATAGACATATATAAGCTGTACGCACCTTTTTCGACGTCTGACATGAATGCGGACACAGCGCCCAAACTTAGCTGGCTACGACTCGCGAGTGCTACTGCACAGTCCAGCTAGTCTCACGACCGCACCAGAGCACGTCGAGAGCAAGTTGAAGCCTTGTCAAGAGAGCTTGGACCGACAACTGAAGGCTATGCGGATACTGTATGCTTCACTGATGGAAGACTTGCTCGGCGCTGCCCTGGAAAGCTGCGCACATTGCACAGGCGCCCAAGACGCTGTCGCGATACTCAAAACACTCTCAAAGGCGGTGCGCACGAAATAACGATGCATTGTGCAAGAGCAGAAGGTACGCTGGTAGAGCCAGTCGTGGTGGTGCGACGCCAACATCGACGGCGCCTGAGAGAGCTTCGCACTCTGTGATGTCGATGAACGTGAACGACGGACTCACATGTCCGCCTCGACCACCGCCATGCAATCTTTTCCTCTCCCCACCCACCTCTCCCGAAGGCTCAAGGGGCATGGCAGCATAACGAACACCTAGACTCGTAATGTACTCCCGACGAACAGGCCCGCCCCGGCCGCTCTCCCTCTCCCCCGACGCCATGCGCCGCCCTCGAACACTCAGTCTACTAACGACAACCCCAGCCTCACGCCGCCTCCTGCTCTACCTCCTACCCCTCCTCCTCCTCACAGCCTTCTTACTCCTCACAAGCCCGATCCTCTCCGAACCCTGGCACTGGCCCACAGACGCCCGCATCCCACACCGTTTCAACCGCCCGCCGCCGTACTTTCCGCCGCCGGGACATCTGGCCGAATGGGTCGCTGAGGAGGAGGAGCGGTATAAGGTCGCTGTGGCGGATCGGTGGGATCTGGTGAGGCAGTATGGGCCGGGGGTGGATGATCTGCAGACGTGCGTCTTCCTTGTTCGGCGAAAGATGCGAGGGTTTGACGCTGATTTGACTTGACAGATTCCCGAAGGGCAAACCCTATACTCTCTGTGCGTCTATTCTTCTAACATTCGATGCTTTCATCATTAGGTGACTGACGTATCCGGCGTTCGCAGGGGACTTCTTTATCCCCGCTTGGCGCTGTCCGCACTCTACGCAGCGCGTAGGGAAGCTAGCAGATGGCGGGAAGTGGGTGTGCGGGATGGAGTTGCTCGAGGCTGCGGACAAGTGTGTGATATACTCGTTCGGTACGCAATAAGCCCTTCTATACGCGCATCGTGTTGAATGAGCTTTGTAGGCGTGAGCAGTGATTCCTCGTTCGAGGCCGAGATGCTCAAACGCGCGCCTGGCTGCGAAGTCTGGGGCTACGATTTCAGCGTGAACAGTGTGAGTACTCTTTCTACCCATCACCATCTTAGACTGCATGCTCAACGTCGTACAGTGGGGCCCCCAAATCACCCTAAACGACGACCTCTCCCCGCGCGCACACTTCCACAAATGGGGCCTCGGCGGCCTCGACACCCTCGAGCCCAACAAACCGCCCATGTACACCCTCCGCACGCTAATGGCCATGAACAAGCACACCTTCATCGACGTCCTGAAGATCGACATCGAAGGATCCGAATTCGACGCGTTGATGTCGTTCATCGCTTCCTTGGAGTTGAATGGCGAGGACGCGGTGCCGTTCGGGCAGATGCAGATCGAGGTGCATGTGTGGAAGCCGAGAGATGGGTTCAGGTATTTTATGGAGTGGTGGGAGCTGCTGGAGAGGTTCGGGTTGCGGCCGTTTTGGTTTGAGCCGAATTTGGTTTATGTGAATAGTTTGCATGCGAGGCCTGATGCTGTCGAGGTGAGATGTCGTTTACGCGTTGGTGAAGATCACAGGCTAACGGATGCGAACAGTACGCGTTTATCAATGTCAAGGGCAATCATGCTCTCGTTGCGGACTAATTCTTCCTCTGGGTTCATGCGGGATGTGGTATACAGGGACATTACTAGCTCTTTGTGTTATACTAGAAGGGCGATATGGGAGAGACTGTCGCAGCTTCCATGCGAGGCGCGTTGCAGGTCCTCGTGCACGGTGCTGTCCTCCGCACGCAACGAAGGGTATCCCGGACGTCACGGTCATGCAACTCGGGCCCGCTCTTCCATTCACCGTAGACGATCCCTTCCTGTATACTACTCATACGATGACGACCTACTACATAATATGTTAGCCGCTACACCCGACCGTAACGCACGGAAAGCTGTCCGCATTTGGGCTTTGATGCGCCCAACATACCATCACGCCAGACATGTCCAATCACGATGCGTTGTGCGAAATATTGGAGCAAGGCTTTCCTCTATCGTTCTGAAACTTCTCGGCGCCCTCCGCCGCAGCGTATGGCGGTCAAAACGTCCAGAAACGTTTTGTTTTTTCGACGCGTCTTTCGACTTTTGACGCGTCGACTCCCGCACTTTCCACACACCGCGCGGACTTCATTTCCGCACATCGCCCCTTTCCTCACACCACCATCTCCC